TTTAAAAATTTATTGCTGGTAATATTTTTTACACAAATGTATTGCTAGTATTAAAATCTATTTTTACATGTTTTGACCACCAATTTGGGGGATAAGTATTTGCCCATAGCTGGGACCCTAACAGGTGCTACCACCTCGCGTTAGGGTGGACCTGGGAACACCAACAATTAAGAGGTGGTTTCATGCTCCTCCTGATCAGAGGTCTTGCTGTCGGATGTAGTTTATCATCATACCCAGGACTTACTGGGTGTGGAAGAGTTAGAAACAGAAATATTGCTAAAGAGTGAGAATAGAGGAAGAATAATCAGGAGGACAGTAGATAGTGATTGACATTACGTTTAAATTTTTGAAGGGAGTTCTACAAGTGAGAAGTTTGAGAAAAGAAACTGTTAGCATAGAATTTACGGTTATATCTAACCATTTCAACTGTAACTTATCCCTGTCTAGTACTTATAAAGTCTAGGTACCATAGCAAAGAGCTCATCTAAATAATTACCATAAAAGTATTTATAGAAAAAGCAAAGAGAGGCAATCTTATGGCAGTGGGAAAGTGACTGAAGCCAACACAAAGATCTGACCAATAATATTACTGATTCTTCTTTGGATTTATTAAACTGACATTGTCATATCCTATCAGTGTGGGGTGGCAAGTATATACTAAGTGTAGTATCTATTTTTCCTTCTTAAAGTTATAAGGAATGCTTGGCTCTGGAGATTCTGACCCTGTGGCAGTACCTTCCTCATTACATTAATGAGGTAGGGTTGGTGGACATTAACACGAATGCAACAGTGGTTGCAGGGACTGTATAATTTTTTTATCTTGACCAATGTACATGCATATAGGCACCCTGCATTAAACTTGGCCTTGTGCCACATCTTACCTCTGGGGCGAGGTTAGTAAATATTGATAAAAAACTAACTGTAAAGGCTGTGATTATAAATAAATTAACTTATTATTTTCCTTTTTTATTTCAAATCTTAAATTTCAGTATTATGGCATTTGTATGTTGTGTCAGGATGCTTTATGAGTGCTTATTGTAGCATGTAACACCTGTCACTCAGAGTTTTTTTTGTTGTTTTTTTTTACAGTGAGTATCACCCTTTACAAGGCCCGAGGGCCACTCGAGGTAGAAGGTTACATTAGGAGGCCATTTGTGTGTATTGGTGAGGGAGATATCAGTTAACCCTAGACTTGAACAGTTGAAGATTGTAGTAATCAGGGAAAACATCCTGTTGGGAGTCGGTCCCACGGGGCAGTGGTTCATGGGAAGAAGCTGCTCAAGTGGAACTTACTTCTCACTAATGGAATATGGAGGAGATATGGGTGGTTTGCTATTATGTAAGTGGCATGGCGTTTTCTTGCCGTGATGGTTTGCCAGGAAATGTAGTTCATCAGAGCACTTTCTATGAAAGTAGTAGTAGAGCAGCAAGAGTCTTGCCACATCGCACCGGTGGGAGAGACGCTGAAGTGTGGAGAATAATTCATCACCCACAAGGGCTCGGAGATGCTTTTGAACTCCTATCAAGGTCGGAGAGTTGTCCACCAAAATCAAATACATGCAAATGGCCTCATCAAAGTTTTTTTGATGGAGGATGATGATCCCGATGATTGGATGCAAGCAGATGCTAACAACAACAACAGTACCACACATTAACCCTCTAAGTAGTGGTAGTGCAGCAAGAGGCTTGCCACATCCCGGGAGAGAGGTTGGAAAGGCTTTAATAAATAACAAAGGCTGTATCTCTTGAAGACTTCCAATAGCAGCAACAAGTAAAATGGTTAGCACATGTAACTGGAAGAGAAAATAATTATATAATCAAGTTATGTTGTTGTTAAAACTAATTTTTAAATACTAGAGTAATTTTGAGTAAGGATTCGGAATCAGCGTACTCAATTTAATCTAAAACACGCTTTTTGTCCCAGTAGTAAAATCTTCATTGCTCAGTGTGATCAATGTAGTTTTTTTTCTTCTCTTCAGTTGAATCTCTTTTGTAACTGGTATCAAATTTTCTTTGATGGAGGATGATGATCCTGTTGATTGGATGCAAGTGGATGCTGTCAACAGCAACAACAACACCACACAATAACCCTCCACCTTGAATGGTAGAGGATTATTCTGATGTTGCAAAACTCCTATACATTTGCGATTTAGCACCACCAGACATCTTGAAACTGAAAAAAGTGCTTTATTTTTGTTTTCATTAATAAGTCTTGGGATTAAAACAGGAATAATTTATGCCGAACAGGAGGGTGGCTAGAATCTAAAGCCTTTTTTTTTTAATTTGTCATCATCACTGGTGGAACTTGTTGCTGAGTATTGGGGTGCTTATTGACATTTCCTCCTGTGCGAAATGAGTCCTATGTTGCATTTGAAGAGATGTTCACAGCCACCATATCGTAGACTGGGAGGGTTCAGAGGATGGAGATATACATGTTAACTTTTTAATTAACATGTGTATAATGTCATCTAAATATTAGGAGGGGCCATAGAGTTGCTGCACCACTGAGCACCTCTTCCCTTTACATATCTGAGTTGAAAGTCAAAGAGTTATTCATTCGTGTCTAGCATGTCTTGGGCAAGTGAATTTGGTGGAGGCCATCATTGTCCATGTCAAACTACAGTTGATGTCTTCCAACTTGAAGGCTTATTAGAGTCAAATAAATCCTGTTGTTGAACCTTCCATACAGTTGTGATTTGGCATTACCAGACTTCTTCCTGGAACTGAAAAAGTATATTTTTTATCTATTTTTATGTTCATTAATAAATCATAACATTAATACAGAAATATTTTTATATGCTTGTAGTGAGTTCTGATAAAAATATATATATATATATATATATACAAAAAAAAAAGAATTCAAATTTAAATAAGGCATTTGCGTTTTCCTTTAAAACTCTTATCTCTTTCTCTCTCTCTCTAAACTTTCCTTCTATACTTCTCTTACCTGATGAGGAGGCAACCCCCAAATAAAAAAGAGGAAGAAGAAGAAAAGACTGAACCCAGCCAAAAATACAGGAAGTTTGCAGTAGCAGAGCTTACTTATTTGTGACTGAAAAATACCAAAAAAAAAAAAAAAATCAGTGAGGCTCCATGCATAACTTCCGTTATAAAAAAAAAAAAAAATGAAAAGAAAGGAACGCAAGGAAATAAAATCATTTGACCAATAAAAAAAATTGACACAAAGAGGCTTTTGATATTCATGCCAAATTCTCGTGTCTGGTGAAAAAGGGTAAAAACCTAATACCTCTAAGCCAGAGGACAGATGGGACCAGAATGACACCAGGAAAGGATGGAACAAAAGAACGCAGCTATGTGTGACGCATGAAGAAGAAGCAATCAAGAGGTCATCTGCTAATGACATTTCTGAAAAAAAAAATATTGTAGATCAAAAATGACCTAATTTCTCACATTACTACTATCCCTATCATGGTCTTACTTCTAAATGATTGCTAACAGACATTCTACAGACTGCTACCAATATCTGCCTGATTAACAAACTTTTTGTTACAAAACCAAAGATTCATTCATTTGATAGAAAATATTATTTATTTTAAACCCTTGGTCTTTTATTCCTAAAGTTTTGATAATTTTTCTACCACCTATTCACATGAATAAAAACACATATGAATGCCAGTATAATGAAAACAATATCTTGCAGACCACTTTCCATTGATTTCAAACCTTGCAGTGGCTTGCCATCACCACACCAGCTGCATACATAGCTAACACAGTCTATCCCATTGGACTAGATGGTCATTGATCCAACAAAAAGATTCATTCATTTGTGAAAAGGTCTTGTTTTTAATTATAGAATAAAATGAATGCCAGTATAATTGCAGATTAATTGAAAAGAAGCCCACTCATGCCTCAGTTCACTGGATTTTTTTTCCGTTTTTACTAATGTTCACCTAATACAAGGCCTAAGAGTCACTCAAAATAGAGGGTTACTATGTGAACTTATATTAGTGTAGGAAAGAAGAAGCGTTGAGAACTGAAGCAGATTTTAGAGGGAACTGGAAACCCAATCCTAAACAGGGATAATAATAATAAACAAGAGATAATCCTCTATTCAGGTTCAAAAGACCGGGGAGGAGTTTGAACAGGATGAATGTAATCAATTGGGGATCCTATGCAACTTTTAACGCAATTTACGGAGAACTGAGACCAATCTCTCTTAAACTCAAACAAAAACAATTATTACAGTCTTTTTTTTTTCGGCTTTGCCGGCCACTGCTACCGAGGGGGCAAGGTAATCGTCTCATCACTCCTATGGCATCCTTCTGGAAGTGTCTTCTAACGAAAATTGACTTTCCCCAGACACCATAGCTTGGAACTCAGGGCTGGATATTGGGAATCTGGGGACAGCCATACAGGACCGTGGAAAGGGATTGTTAGAGTTCCGATCAACCATAGGGAGGTCGAAGGATGATGATGATGATGATGATAAATTAATTTACCCCCATTTCACCTGTCAGCTTTCTGACTGTGGTTGGTAAACATTGAAACCGACAATAAGACAATCACTGGAGCCAGAAAAAAAAGAAAGACTTGATGCCGGCTAATTGGCAACGTGAAATAATTTAATTTCCTTCTTGAACCTCATGGTGCGTGTTGGAATCTTTTAACAAACCAATCAGCCACAACGAGGCTGACAACAAAATGGCTTCTTTAGTAAAAACGCGTTAAGTTTAGGCTGGGTTTGTTTACTTTTTGCGATGCTTTTACTGACGGGGCTGTCTAATTAAGGACCATTTAAAGAAGGATTTTAATAACTAACTTTAGATTTCCATTCATTAAAATGAAAAAATAATCATTTTCAAGAAAGAGAGAAAAAAAAATTATATTCGTGTTTTTGAGGTGGAAACTAAGACGGAAGTTCTTTATGACTTTCTCCGAATTCGTCGTGTTTTTGTTTGACACGGGAATATAATTTGTCTTTTTTAAAAGGAATGTAATTTTAAAACTGAATTAATTTTTAAATTAATTAAATAATCAACATGAAAGTGGCAGTCATCGGATGCGGATTACTTGGAATCAAGATTGCAGGTATTGACGTTTAAAAAGTTTATTTCATTTTCCAGTTTTTAAAAAATGTCAATAATTGGATTTTTACTTTCACAATTAACAACGAAAATATTTTTGAAATTTAAAAAGGAAAAAAATAAATAAAAAGTTTTGTTAAATTTTTCCGACGGTTAAAAAGTTAATATTTTTCATTTTTATTCGTTTCAAAACTTTTCTGACCAGTTGAATATTTTTAGAATGATTTTCAATTTTTAAAAAAATATAAAAATAATTAAATTCTTAACTAACTTGACATTTTTTTTTACTTTCATAATAATAATAATAATTTTTTTTTAGTTTAAGTTTTGCAACGGTTTCAAACTTAATAATGTTAATTTTTTTTCTTTATCACTCCTTTCAAATTTTAAAAAAAAATTATCTGTTGAATTTTTACCACTTAAAAAAAAATTCCTAAAAAAAAAAAATATAGCTGTTTTATTTTCAATTTTAAACTTTTTTTTAACGGATTTTTTAAAACTTTTTTTAACGGATTTTTTATAAATTAAAAAAGAAAGTATTTCTGGTGTCATAAAAAGTCAATTAAAAATTTAAGTCCAAGCAAATTGTTTAAAATAAAAAAAAATAGTGAAAATAAAAAAATTAGTAAATTATGAAATATTTAAAAATTTTTTCGTTTACTGTTTTTTCGTTTACACTACGTGACTACAGTACTAATGTAAAAAAAAAACAAAACACACACACATAAACTAAATTAAAAAAAACTAAAAGCTAAAAAAGCATAAAAATTAAAAATTATTTCGTTTTTTAGTATTTAATTATTTTGTAAAGTTTTCTTTTCTATGATTATATACTAAAAAAACAATAAGTACAGTAAAAAATTTTAGCGTTTCAAACATCAGTCACTCCCTCCCCCAATATATCTTCCCTATGATTTTCCTATAAATATTTTCATATGGTAATTCTGATGAGCTTTCCTCTATGATACCTAGACTTTATGAATTTAAGTGAAGATACTAGATTGGCAGTTAGGTCCCATCATTTTATAGTTGAAATACTTTTTTAACCGTAAGTTCTAGTATAGATAATTAATTTCTATACCAACAGTTTTTTTTCGCTTCTATCTTTCGTAATCTTGCTTTCCATTCAACTTAGTTTTTCAAAAATTTAAATGCAATGTCAATCGTTATCTTCTGTTTTCTTAGTTCCTCTTCATTTTGTTCTCAATCCTTAATGTTTTTTTCATGTTCTTTCACATTTGATTCCGTAACCCCTTGTGTCTTAGAACCCTTATTGCGTTGATTAGGGTGAAGTGATTTAAAAAAAAGAAAGATGATAAACATTGATTTACGTCCCTTACATTGGGATAAACTTGAATGAGTCTCATATTATGAAATAAATACATTTGAATTTTCAAATTAGTTATTTTTGTTTTTAAAATTCTGGGACTTCTTGGTCAGAAATATTGAATTATATTTCGTGTTTTACTTTCTTAACGTAAAAATTTTAGAAATAAATTATATCACATTTTCGTTTTATTTCGAATGAATGTCATTTCATATTGAAAGAAAGAAAGGGTCAGAATATGAGTCGCGTTCAAGAAGTTGACATCCGATGTAAGGGAGATAAATTACTATTTGGTATGGAAAAATTGTTTAAAGCGCTAAAAAAACAACAAAAAAACTCTTTGATACAGCCTGATATAACCAAAAGGAAAAAAAAAGAGTTTTGTGCTTGAAAACAACAAACTCACTGCATGTAATAGGAGTAGATAGGTTTGCCTGTTGCCCGGTTTACACTCCTCCCCATTCTTTTGAACAGTAGTAAAGGTTTGTCTGTTGTTTCCTGCTTAGAATTGGGTTTCCAATTCCTTCTAAAGTCTTCTCATTCTCTTTCACTCCCAGTAGCCCCTTGTGTCTTTGTGGCATTATTGCTTCGCTTGGGGTGAATTGATAAAAAAAAAAAAAAAAGAATTAGTCATTCATTGTAATAAAACTGACCATAATTTTGACTTGAATAATGTAGTTTTGAATAAAAGAGAAAGTAATATGCTAAGTCAAAAATGTATAGAAAGTGCACTGATTACTGAGTTTTCAACAGTAAATTTATTTTCCAGGTCCTTACGATATTTCAGCTTTCTTATCAAATCTTTTGTTGTCATAGTGTGGGATATCTTAAAAACAACAGTGATAAAAACGAAAAAGTAAAAATGAAAATATTTTTGATACAACAATAAGGGAAAAACTCTAACAAGTTTTGTGCTTGAAACAACAAATTTGGTGCATATAATGGAAGTAGATATGTTCACCAATTTCTTGGTTCACATTTCTTCCCTGCCTTTTGAACAAGAGTAGAGCCTTGTCCCTTGTTTTCTGCTTAGGATTGGGTTTCTGATTCCTTCTAAAGTCTTCTAATTCTCTTTCACTCCCAGTAGCCTCTTCTGTCTTAGTGGCATTATTGCCTTGCTTGGGGTGAATTGATTAAAAAAAATAAAATTGTTCATCGTAATAAAACTGGCCATAATTTTGACTTAAATAATGCAGTTTTAATTAAAAGAGAAAGTAATTTCTTAAGGCAAAAATGTATAGAAAGTGCACTGATTTCTGAGTCTTTCACAATAAAGTTATGTGCACGATCATACTTTCATGGGATATTTAAAAGTGATAAAAACAAAAGCATTTGGGAGCTGAATGTAGTTGTCTAAGGTGTATGTCTAGAAACGTCACATGCCAGGAATTTAAAATTTAAATTTAGTGCCTTTACATCTTCAGTGTTCCTCTTGATGTATAATTGTAACAAGCTCTTCTCTTTACATATACAAAGTCCACCAAAATATCTATACACACTTCAGGAAAGGAAAAACTTGTATAAATATTGTATTACTAAATTTATTCAGACATCACAAGATTAATACAAGTTACCTTTGGACTCAGCAATCACAAGAGATGCTCAAAATGGTGGCCTTTAGCTTTCAATCATTAGTATGGTGAACTATTGCTTGAGCAATGTTGTCCAAAGCATCCAATGGGATTGCTGAACATGCATTTTCAATTTCTTGTCTAAGGGCCACCAATGTAGTGCCATCTGTTGAGAAAATATTGTACTACAGTTATAGAGAAGTGTATGATTGTTGAAACAGATTAGTTTGATTTGGCCTTGTTAGTTAGATAGAGTTTTTCCCTTTTTGCTGTATCAAAAATATTTTAATTTTTACTTTTTCGTTTTTATCACTGTTGATTTTAAGATATCCCACCCTATGACAACAAAAGATTTGATAAGAAAGCTGAAACGTCGTAAGGACCTGGAAAACAAATTTACTGTTGAAAACTCAGTAATCAGTGCACTTTCTATACATTTTTGACTTAGCATATTACTTTCTCTTTTAATCAAAACTGCATTATTCAAGTCAAAATTAAATGTTTCGTAGTCTTCTATTGGCTGAAAAAAATCTTGCATCAAGTGTGAAATTTCACGAGTTTTGTTTTGGATTTGCTTTTGTGCGTGTGTTAAGCAAAGTTTGTAAATTCGAGTCTTTTTAATTTCTAACAAAATCTATGAGTCAGTGCTTAGCATTTGAATTTTTAAATCTAGATCTTGTTTTGTTCACTACAAGTGAACAGTATTATCGCAATTTGATAAAACTATAAAAGACAAGTTTTTCCTTTCCTGAAGTGTGTACGTTTTTTTGTTGAACTCTGTATAAAATTCTGTCAGCAAGAAAATTATTTTAGGGTGATGAAGTCCTTTTGAGAATGAAAATAAATAATGTACTGTTTTCCCATTTTGTCATTCAAATATGTGCCATTAGTCAGATATATAGAATATCATATTTCTCCTTTATATTTATTTTAGACCAAAGCTGAGAGCTTCCAGGTGTGAATCTGATGGTTTGAATTTGGATAAATTTGTAACTATGTCCTTTCTGCTGACTTTAGACAATTTGCTTTTAGAAATCAATGTATTTAGTTTATTTTGTAAGTTACGGATTTGCTTATTGTTGTAACTGATTGAATTTTTCAATTTACTCCATTTGTGTTTATGAAAATCATTTCCTTTTTTGTATGCCATAATGGTCTAAAATTGACAGGACTTAATTACAAATTTATCCAAATTAAAACCATCGGATACACACACACACACACACACACATATATATTGTGTATTTAGGCAGCAATCCATCATTTATACGTCTCATTAAAGCCAACACACAAGGTACTGCGATTAAGCTTTTTATTTAATTTTTTTTTGTGTTTGAACAAGTGTTTTCTTCTCTGGATATAGCATGTAGAAACTGTCCAAATGTTCTGTAATTCTGAGTGCTTTCGGCTATACTTTTAGCTATTATCAAGGATGATTTTATTTTTACTTTTTAACTAGGTGTGTGAGTTGTGTGTATGTATGTTTCTAGAGTTATTTAATGAATCCCCTCTCTCTCTCTCTCTCTATATATATATATATATATATATATATATATATATATATATATGAAGAAATAAGGTCTTAAGGTGTGCTATATTTATGGGATAAAGTGTTCAATATCAGAGATAGAGCGTGTGTAAATATAAAAGTTAACATTGAAGTCAACACTTAGAGGTGACAGGCTGTTTCATGCTATATGCCTGACGATTGCATATAGCATGAAACAGACTGTCACCTCTAAGTGTTGACTTCTATGTTCACTTTATATATATATATATATATATATATATATATATAAAAAGAAAAAATATCTATCTATTATATATATATAATATCTGGTAATCCATATGGGAATTCCAAAAGGAGTATAAATCAAAAATGGAGCAAATAATAATTATTATAATAGTGAAAATGAACACTTAAAATACCATCGTGATATTTATTTTATTAGAATTGAAAATTTGATTCCAACTCTTCAGACGGACACCCAAATATTTGTGTTCGTTTCACTATTATAATAATAAGTAGTATTTGTTTTCACTATTATTATAATAATTTATATATATATATATATATATATATACACAGTATTACTTGCTTGAAAAACCTCAGATGACTCAACTTGTAGACACCTGAGGGCAAATCAGTACTCGAGGAAAAAATTAGAAGTAAATCAAGAAAGAACTAAAAACATCAGAACAAGGCGAAACAAATCGTCAAGTGTCTTAAGTCCTTAGTCCAAAGAAAAAAATCCAAGTGAGTATAAAGACTAAAACATAGAGTGCTCAATACGCTAAGCAGAGCAGTAAATTAGAATAAATCCTAACAAGCCAGGCAGACCTACCTAAGTTTCATATACATACATACATACCCACACACATGTATATATGCTCTCATAATTTTTTTTTCTTCTGTTTTAATCATTTTATCCCCAAGCAATGCCACTAAGATGAAAGGGGTTACTGGGAGTGAAAGAGAATGAGAAGACTTTAGTGAGGAGGAAGGACAATAAAAGAACAGGTTTCAGGAAGACAGAAGATAGTGATAATGCCACTAAGATGCAAGGGGTTACTGGGAGTGAAAGAGAATGGGAAGACTTTAGTGAGGAGAAAGGACAATAAAAGAACAGGTTTCAGGAAGACAGAAGATAGTGATAATGCCACTAAGATGCAAGGGGTTACTGGGAGTGAAAGAGAATGAGAAGACTTTAGTGAGGAGAAAGGACAATAAAAGAACAGGTTTTCAGGAAGACAGAAGATAGTGATAATGCCACTAAGATGCAAGGGGTTACTGGGAGTGAAAGAGAATGAGAAGACTTTAGTGAGGAGAAAGGACAATAAAAGAACAGGTTTCAGGAAGACAGAAGATAGTGATAATGCCACTAAGATGCAAGGGGTTACTGGGAGTGAAAGAGAATGAGAAGACTTTAGTGAGGAGAAAGGACAATAAAAGAACAGGTTTCAGGAAGACAGAAGATAGTGATAATGCCACTAAGATGCAAGGGTTACTGGGAGGAAAGAGAATGAGAAGACTTTTAGTGAGGAGAAAGGACAATAAAAGAACAGGTTTCAGGAAGACAGAAGATGGTGATAATCGACTAAGATGCAAAGGGGTTACTGGGAGGAAAGAGAATGAGAAGACTTTAGTGAGGAGAAAGGACAATAAAAGAACAGGTTTCAGGAAGACAGAAGATGGCGATAATGCGACTAAGACGCAAAGGGGTTACTGGGAGTGAAAGAGAATGAGAAGACTTTAGTTAGGAGAAAGGACAATAAAAGAAGAGGTTTCAGGAAGACAGAAGATGGTGATAATGCCACTAAGATGCAAGGGGTTACTGGGAGTGAAAGAATGAGAAGACTTTAGTGAGGAGAAAGGACAATAAAAGAAAAAGATTCAGTAAGACAGAAGATGGTGATTGATGGGGTATTTAAATTTTTAAAGATCGTAGGTGGCAAGGAAGCAAGAAATCAGAAGAGTTCTACAGCTAAGAAGTGTGAGAAAAGAAATTATTATAATAGAGCTTAGGCTTACATCTAGCTAGTTCAACAATAAAACAATGAGACCTAGTAACCAATTTTGTAGTACACTTAGTCATGCAGTCAAAGTACCAAAGAGGAGAGCTCACTAGAACAACTGTCATGAAAAGGCCAAGGGAAGTCACATTACGGCAATGGGAAAGTAACTAAAGTAGAGATACTAGGTAGAGACCAATAAAATTACAGATCCATCTTTAGATTTTGTTCAGGATCTCAAGATATAGAGTAGGAGCACCAGACCATTTGTGGCAGCAATATTCAATATATAGTCAAATAGTAGATTTATAAATATGCTGAATCAATTCTGACAAGAAAAATTACCTGGCACAATACAGTGAATCAACTTTCCAAGTAGCAGATTAAGCAAATAATTTAATATAATCACAACACTTTACGTCAGTAGAAAATGTTAGGCCCAGAAGGCACAATGTGTCACTCTCTGGAGGTTAGCATCAGCCATAGTGATGGAAGGCAGAAAAGGTTCTTTCTGATAATCAAAGGATAGCAGTTTCATTTTGGTGGTATTTAAATTTTCAAGTTATTGCTTACCCCAGTTAAGATCAGGTTGGAGGTCATTTTTATGAGAAACTACCAATTTTACTTTGTTGCACCTATTGAACTTACTATTAAGAGTAAATAGTTTTCTCATTAGTAAAAAAATAAAAAGTTGGGAATTACATACAGTTAGCAGCATCTATTTTTTGCTTTTACAAACTAAAGAAAAAGATGTGGATGAAAGTGTGTTGATATATCATATTCTACTATACACTAATATAATAATAACATTAATGATATTGTGGAGTCATTGTCTGTTAAATGTGGACATGAAATAAGCTTTGGTGTAAAGGTCTGTATAAAAGGAAAATACTTTTGATACAACCTCATATATAATAATAATATTAATAAATATAGTGGAGTGATTGTCTTTAGATGTGGGCATGAAATAAGCTTTGGAGTAAAGGTCTGTAAAAAAGGAAAATACTTTTGATACAACCTCATATATAATAATAACATTACTGATATAGTGTAGTCATTATCTTTCGATGTGGACATGAAATAAGCTTTGGCATAAAGATCTCAAAGAAAAGAAAACTACTTTTGTTACAAGTTAATAAGAAAGAATTCTTCTTGTTTCAGGTTCTATGGCCTATCATGGTCATCGAGTTATGGTTTATGACAACAATGTGGAGGTGCTGAATGGAGCTTATGAAATCATTCAGGAAGATAAGAGAGTTCTTCGACAAGAAGGATTGTTGCTGCAGAAGAATTTTCTAGTAAGCACAAAAATCATATGAATTAAAATCTGAAGTTTCATCATTTGTGCTTTTTACATGACAGTTTTAGTAATTATTTAAATTCATTACTGAATATATAAAAACATAACTGTAAACATTGAACATTTTAACTTTAATATAGTCATATGTCTCTGTTTCTCAATATTTAAATGCTGACATGTTCTTAACAGATTTTAGAAGAGTATAAATTTCAGGTTTAAAATTTGTTTAGAGTTTATGATTACTATTATTTCAGTTGATAGTCTCACCAAGCCTGGTCAAATTCTGTAGATCTGCTCATCTATGTAGGTCATCTTTCAGGTTTTTGATCATGCATACAAATTAGTGATAGTTTTTATAGCACTAGAACCATGCTTGCACTTTACATAAATTGCAAATGGCTGCTCTGGGCAGGTGAGACATTGTAGCCTCTTAGCCACAGGTAGATTAGAATTTTTGTTCTATTTCACCACAGTTATATAGAGTATAATTATATCAGTTAATAATTGAATTCCCAAGGCCAATGCACTGGTAATGAGTGGGGTTATGCCACTGACAGTTATTAATAGTTGGCATAGGAATGACCTTGAACAGAAAGTCAACATCCTCTAATAAATATTCCAAGAAATAGGATTCAAATCTTTCCAAAGCAGAAGCTATGATCTGAAATTGGAATGAAACCTCTGATGGTACATACCCTGAATCCATCATAAATATTCAGGATGTGGAATTGTTAAATACTAAACACTTCAAATACCTTGGTTTATGGATCAGTTATAACAAATTTAGTATAGAAGATAAGGAAATTGAACATAGAATATGTTGTACTAGAGATAGTTTGGATCAACACAGCGAATTGCAACAAAACAAAACCATTAACGTGAAAACTTGAGTCATGTATATCTGTCTATATTTCTGAGATGAGGTATTTTAATTATTTACACTATTTACATTGTGCCTTATTTACAACGTTTCTGCTGTTGTATGCTCTGGTCATCTTCAGGTGATTGGAATTTTAAACTGAACCCTTTATTTCATCCACTGGGGTAGATTGATCTAGTTCCACGTGCTATGCCTCTTTTGGATGTCTCAATATCAGTTATTTTCCTTTAACTCAACTCTCTAGGTTTTGTTCACCACAGCTGTAGCCAGGTACTGAACTTGAAACTCTTTGGTCACTGGATTCAACCAATGCTTTGATCCACTATGCCATGTGTCCTCAAGGACACAAGTCCGGAGCGTACAGTGGCTGAAATGTCATGAATATGGTAACAAAGATGAGGATTGAGTCATGTACTTAAATAGTTTGCTCAGATTAAAATTTTCATATGGGTCCCTTGCATGGCACCAGACCCATTCTAAACTGCCTACTGTATACAATTGCTTTCTAAGATCAATGGTTAAAAATGGCTTTGAGTGAAGCCTGTTGATCTTCTTCAAACCTTGTAGACTGGCCTTACAGAATCGCAATGAAAGAACAGTATCAGATTACAGAAGCCACATCATGTGGGGACTTTCAACAGCAGCAACAACTAAAGTGGATAGCACATGTAACTTAAGAAAATATGGACATAATCAAGGTGTTCCACACTACTTCCAGTAAAAGGTTAGGAAGGAAACTCCCAACAATACTGGAAAGAATGTTGCAGGCAGTAGTACATTGGTGTTTGAGTTGTGGAATACATGTTTCCTGGAATACCCACAACAAAAATGGGGGTCTTGCATGTGTGTCCACCATGATAAAATATCAAGAAACAACAAGAATTAATATATATGTACAAACAAATGATAATATATTGACAAGAAAGGTATACAAGTGACAATGGTGCGTTTTAAAAAAAAATGTGAAAACATTTAAAGTTCAAATGATGTGAAGTAAGTGAAAATGTGTATGTACATACGTGTGTGTGTGTGTGTGTTGGTGTGTTCCTGCATTTCCCAATAGGAAACGCATTTTTCACTAGAGACTTACATGTTGACATGTAAGTGAAAAAAGTAAGAAGAGAATGAGAAAAAATATCGCAGAGTATTTATAGTCCAGAGAGTGTCCCTTAGTAGCAGTTTCAGGAGTGTAAGTAAGTGGAGTTAATTCCACAAGAGCAATAACAGCTACTGGACTTGAGAAATCCATTTTCCTGAAAAAAAGATTTTATAAATTTCAATTAAAAGTTGTACTATCTGCTCACTTGGTCAATGAATGCCAAATAACTCCTTATAAAATACTACACTTTAATCTCCGCCTGATAGCTAGGGAGTGACGAAAAGTGTAATTTGGGTAGCACTGCCAGCCTGGTCAGTGAATTCCAAATGTATCCTTATAAAGAAATGGTTAATATTACCATTAGCATTATTGATGTAGAGAACAGATACTACACTTTGATCTCAGACCGATGATCAGGGAGTGAAGAAAAGTAACTTGAGTAGTACTGGCTGCCTTGTAAATAAATGCTGAATGTTTCCTTATAATGGATTTACTAGCAGCATGGTCTTCCAGTTTTGAATGCATAGTTGTCTTTCTTCTAGGCTGGTTGGTATCCAAGGCTAAAGAGTCCAGTCTGTCCTATTTAACCCATAGCTGGGGGAAAAGACATGGATTCATATCTACATGACCTGGGTGATGAATTGTTTTCTACCCGAGAACACCTTTTCTACAGGTGAAAACACTCACTACTCTATGGCAATATTTTTTTTTTTTTTTTTTTCAGTCATTTTAACCCAAGCAAGGTAATAAAGCCACCAAGATGCAAATGGTTACTGAATGTGAGATAATATGAGTAAAAGAAAACATTGTTAACGAGAGAGAATAATAAAAGAACAAGAATTAAAAAGAAGATAATGATTGTCATTGAATTTAATTTTTTGAAGGTAAAAGTTGACTGGAATGCAACAGAAGAAATTAACATTGTGTTACATTGAACCATTTTTTATGGAAAATGGTCAGATGAGTTACATTCATTAGTTCCCAACTCAACTCTCCCAGCTGAGACTCATCATGCTGCATGCGTTGAAGCAAACTTTTTGTATTCCTTTAGTAAGGAGTAAGTACGACTTGGATAGCTTCTTCCTGAGGACTGTTGTTTTGAGGAACAGAATCCCAGAAAGATATTTTCCCGACCACTGCAATCTTGATCTATTCAAGTCTAAGGTTAACTGTTATCTTTCCCACATATGTGTCTCTTACTCTTACTGCTCACACAACAATCTTTTCAATTACTCTCTATCCTGATGGCTCTTGGGCCTTGTATATGGTGAACATTAATAAAAAAAAAAAAAAATATCTTTCCCAAGGATATTTGTGCAAACGTAAATGTAACAATTTGGGCTGGAATTGAAATGTGGCTCTTTCTGATCCTCTAGTGTCCATCCTATATATATTGATTTTCCAAGCGTAGCTTAGATGTGGCACAAGGCCGAAAGTAGGGGGCACCCAGTGATGATTGAACTCACTACTCAGGCATAATTGTTTTAACGAGACAAGCTTGCTAACAATTACACCGCCTATAGGTGCTTATTTTCTAAGCGTAGCTTAGATGTTGCACAAGGCCGAAAGTATGGGGTACCTAGTGATGATCGAACTCACTTTTCAGTTGTAACTGATCTAGTGAAACAAGCTTGCTAACCAATACACCATGCCGAGGTGCCCTATGTCCATCCTATATATATATATCACTAATATTGAGAGCTTTACAATAAGTACTGCGCATATATAATATATAAATAATATATATAAAAACTTGCATATATACTGATATCTATCTATCTATCTATCTATCTATCTATATATATTTATATGAAATGGACTAAGTCTGACAATTATTTTAATATATTTTCTGTTTATACATTATTTTTATAGCTACAAATATTTAAGTAAATGCTCTGTTTATAATAAACAGTATTAATTACATTTACTGGCCTGAATGTGAAAGAAATTTTGTAGAAAATATGTGTCCGACAGGAATTGAACTGGTGTCCTGCATGGAACTGTCATTTGATCTGATGTGCTATACCACTCAGCTACAGAGGAAGCATCTGGTTTGCAACGTCCGAATTTCTGTTTTTAAACAAATTTCCCACAATTTTTCTTGAACAATCATATCTGCTTGAAACATTTTGTAATGTAAACAAATGACAACATATATTATAAAATGGATTAAGTTCGACAATTATTTTAATATATTTTCCTTTTACATGTTATTATTATAGATACACTTATTTAAGTAAATGCTCTGTTTATAATAAACAGTATTATTTCATTTACTGGCCTTATTTTCATTTATTGTCTTTAGATGTGAACAATAATAATTTTTGGATGTAAAGGTCTGTAAAAAAGGAAAATACTTTTGATACGACCTAATATATAATAATAATATTAATAAATATATTTGAGCCATTGTCTTTAGATGTGGACATGAAATAAGCTTTGGAGTAAAGGTCTGTAAAAAAGGAAAATACTTTTGATACAACCTAATATATAATAATAATATTAATAAATGTAATGGAGTGATTGTCTTTAGATGTGGACATGAAATAAGCTTTGGAGTAAAGGTCTGTAAAAAAAGGAAAATACTTTTCATACACACTATAATAATATAGTGGAGTCATAGATAGATTTTAGATTTGTGCAGGAAATAAACTTTGGGTTAAAAATCTGCACGAAAAGAAATTATTTTCAATCCACCCTAATAAATTTGAATTGTAATATGAAGTTGAAAGACTTGTTAACAAACTAAATGTCCAGTAAAATTCTTTATAAATCCAATGAAATATAAATAAATATTTTTAATTTTTTTTTATTTCATGCTTTCAGTTTTCATTTCTTTTTAGGGTTCTATCTACTATTTTAGTGGTTTTCATGAAACGGTCCAGGATGCTGACTTTATTTTTGAAGCCATCACAGATAATTTACAATTGAAACAAGAATTATTGGAAGGTGAGTTTATCAATATTGATTCAATTGACATTTCCAAACTGCAATTTTTTTAAGAATCAGGTTTGTATATCACAAAACTTTAATAAGATTATACGACATTAATTCCTGACCACTGACAATCCCTTTCTTCCTGATTTTCAATGCATTCATATAGTAAAATCATTAGCAATGCATTTACATTATACATATAATAGCCTTATTCTATCAGTAATGCTTGCATTCATTCCTGACCACTGACAATCCCTTTCTTCCTGATTTTCAATGCATTCCTATAGTAAAATCATTAGCAATGCATTTACATTATACATATAATAGCCTTATTCTATCAGTAATGCTTGCATTCATTCCTGACCACTGACAATACCTTTCTTCCTGATATTCAATGCATTCCTATAGTAAAATCATTAGCAATGCATTTACATTATACATATAATAGCCCTATTCTATCAGTAATGCCTGAATTCATTCCTGACCACTGACAATCCCTTTCTTCCTGATATTCAATGCATTCCTATAGTAAAATCATTAGCAAAGCATTTACATTATGCATATAATAGCCCTATTCTATAAGTAATGCTTGCAGTCATTCCTGACCACTGACAATACCTTTCTTCCTGATATGCAATCCATTCCTATAGTGAATCATTAGCAATGCATTTACATTATGCATATAATAGCCCTATTCTATCAGTAATGCTTGCATTCATTCCTGACCACTGACAATCCCTTTCTTCCTGATAAGCAATCCATTCCTATAGTGAATCATTAGCAATGCATTTACATTATGCATATAATAGCCCTATTCTATCAGTAATGCTTGCATTCATTCCTGACCACTGACAATCCCTTTCTTCCTGATATGCAATCCATTCCTATAGTAAAATCATTAGCAATGCATTTACATTATGCATATAATAACCTTATTCTATCAGTAATGCTTGCATTCATTCCTGACCACTGACAATCCCTTTCTTCCTGATATGCAATCCATTCCTATAGTGAATCATTAGCAATGCATTTACATTATGCATATAATAGCCCTATTCTATCAGTAATGCTTGCATTCATTCCTGACCACTGACAATCCCTTTCTTCCTGATTTTCAATGCATTCCTATAGTAAAATCATTAGCAATGCATTTACATTATGCATATAATAGCCCTATTCTATCAGTAATGCTTGCATTCATTCCTGACCACTGACAATCCCTTTCTTCCTGATTTTCAATGCATTCCTATAGTAAAAATCATTAGCAATGCATTTACATTATGCATATAATAGCCCTATTCTATCAGTAATGCTTGCATTCATTCCTGACCACTGACAATCCCATTCTTCCTGATTTTCAATTCTTTCCTATAGTAAAATCATTAGCAATGCATTTACATTATGCATATAATAGCCCTATTCTATCAGTAATGTCTTGCATTCATTCCCAATGACCACTGACAATCCCTTTCTTCCTGATTTTCAATGCATTCCTATAGTAAAATCATTAGCAATGCATTTTACATTATGCATATTATAGCCCTATTCTATCAGTAATGCTTGCATTCATTCCTGACCACTGACAATCCCTTTCTTCCTGATTTTCAATGCATTCCTATAGTAAAATCATTAGCAATGCATTTACATTATGCATATAATAGCCCTATTCTATCAGTAATGCTTGCATTCATTCCTGACCACTGACAATCCCTTTCTTCCTGATTTTCAATGCATTCCTATAGTAAAATCATTAGCAATGCATTTACATTATGCATATAATAGCCCTATTCTATCAGTAATGCTTGCATTCATTCCTGACCACTGACAATCCTTTCTTCCTGATTTTCAATGCATTCCAATAGTAAAATCATTAGCAATGCATTTACATTATGCATATAATAGCCCTATTCTATCAGTAATTTGCTTGCATTCATTCCTGACCACTGACAATCCCTTTCTTCCTGATTTTCAATGCATTCCTATAGTAAAATCATTAGCAATGCATTTACATTATACATATAATAGCCTTATTCTATCAGTAATGCTTGCATTCATTCCTGAACACTGACAATCCCTTTCTTCTTGATTTTCAATGCATTCCTATAGTAAAATCATTAGCAATGCATTTACATTTTTGCATATAATAGCCCTATTCTGTCAGTAATGCTTGCATTCATTTCCTGACCACTGACAATCCCTTTCTTCCTGATTTTCAATGCATTCCTATAGTAAAATCATTAGCAATGCATTTACATTATTATCATATATAATAGCCCTATTCTATCAGTAATTTGAATTTGCATTCATTCCTGACCACTGACAATCCCTTTCTTCCTGATTTTTGTCTGCATTCCTATAGTAAAATCATTAGCAATGCATTTACATTATACATATAATAGCCTTATTCTATCAGTAATGCTTGCATTCATTCCTGAACACTGACAATCCCTTTCTTCTTGATTTTCAATGCATTCCTATAGTAAAATCATTAGCAATGCATTTACATTATGCATATAATAGCCCTATTCTGTCAGTAATGCTTGCATTCATTCCTGACCACTGACAATCCCTTTCTTCCTGATTTTCAATGCATTCCTATAGTAAAATCATTAGCAATGCATTTACATTATACCTATAATAGCCTTATTCTATCAGCAATCCTAGAAATTTTGAATATCTTCTTGATTAAGTGTTACATTAGAAAGAAATTAAGTTAAAAAAGAGACAATAGTTTAAGTAATAAATGATTATATCATCATATCTTTCAAAAGTGAAAGCATTTCCGTATCTTACTATTGGTGTTTATTTACGTGTACAACAACCCATGCAATGTTATGAGAGATTTTGTGATTTTTATTTTTTGAAAATTTAAAAAAAATTGTTTTCAGAAATTCTTTTGTTTTCTTGCAGAGATTTCCCAGTTATGCAAGCCTGATGCGATCATTTCATCCAGTTCCCTTAATTTCCACATTGCAGATATTGCACAGAAAGTTGTTAATAAAGAGGTAAATCCTGAGAGAGATTCAACAACTTGGAATTTTTAACTAATATATATATATATATATATATATATATATATATATATATGAAGCAATATAGTCTTAAGGTGTGCTATATTTATGGGATAAGTGCTCAATATCAGAAATAGTGTGTGTAAATATAAAAGTGAACATAGAAGTCGACTGTTATTTTCTTGGCTATTTATATATACGGGTCTATTTTGGCGGTTATTTTACCGGAAGTCATTTATTTATTTATTTATTTGGGTTAAATTATGTTGCCCGTCATTATTTTTATTTTTTATTTTTATTTTTTATTTCTTATATATATTTTTTTTATTTATTTATTTTTATTTTAATCAGTGTTTTTATTAACGTAGTAAAAATTTGTTTATATCACTTATTTAATAGTTTTGTTTTGATTTGGGAAAATAAAGCTATTTATTCAATTTTGGGGTTGATTGTTGTAGTTTATTCTAACTACCATTTTGGTGGGAACAGTTTTTAATTTGTTTATTACTTTATGTACTTATTTGGACCAATTAAAATAAAAATAAAAAAAAATATATAAGATAAGAAAAAAAAAAAAAATAATGACAGGCAACATAATTTAACCCAAATAAATAAATAAACAAATAAACGACTTCCAGTAAAATAACCGCCAAAATAGACTACCCACAATGCACCACTGACCCGTATATAGCCTAGAAAAATAACAGCACTTGTGGCCTGACGATTGCGTCTAGCATAAAACAGAATGTCACCTCTAAGTGTTGACTTCTATGTTCACTTTTTTATATATATATATACATATATATATATTATAATATGGTTATTTTCACTACACAGTTCCAACCATGTTTCAATCGCTTGAAGATGAAATGGAACTAATGCTTTTAATTTATTTGCAAAAAATAAAATTAGGGTTTTAGCTTCTATTTTTGAAACATGGTTTTGGAACTGTGTAGATAACTATCAAAATCAATTAATTTATAATATTAATGCTCTGTAAATTTACATTGAGCACTATTTTGTAAAAAAATAAAATATCTATAAGAACACCGGAT